GTCGCGGAGAACCTAACGGGTAACCGGGGCTCCGGCTCGACGTGCAGGAGAAGGAACGGGGTGGTTTTTAGTCAGTAAGAGTCTGACACTCCCTCCCGCCTCACCCAGACGGGAGCAGTCATTCGATGATTTTCCCCCCTTAAATAAAAAACCTAGCCATATATTCTTTCGGAGTCGCGGAGAACCTAACGGGTAACCGGGCCTCCGGCTCGACGTGCAGGAGAAGGAACGGGGTGGTTTTTAGTCGGTCAGTAATTCGATTATTTTCCCCCCTTAAAAAAAGCCATATGTTCTGTTATCAGTGGTTGGTACAGATAGCCAACCAATAGTCACTGTCCCCATACTGAATTAATCTGTATTGTCTTACTTGCATAATAAATGGTATAAAATAAACTTTCACAATAATAACCACTGCTACAGGAGAAACTTTAATTTTGTCGTTGCCTTTTGCTCTAAAATTTACTTTAGAAGTGGAACTCTGACCTAGTTTTGGATTAATTTGGAATGACAGTGATGCCATTTGCGAGCAAAAATCCTTGGCTCCCCGTAACTCACTAATAGAGATCACCATGTATCTTTATCACCTTTATTTACAGCCTGTATAAAAACATGGCGCACTGCGTGGGGTAAATTGAAGATTTTTTTCCTTAATATTTTTGAAACTTTGTTTTTTACTGAAGACTAAGTTCGTTGGTTCAGTGGTCTATAACAAAACTGCCTGGCAAGGAGTTTCAGGTTCCACGTGAGTATCAATTTCAATAATTTTGTATAACTCTGTTGATCACTTTAGTGAATAAATGGTATCATTTCCGAAAGTAAGTCAAGGGCTGGGACAAAAAAATGCAATTCTGAACTATAATTACACATAGCAGAAGTAAACCTTTTTGTAGTACTACGTGATTAATGATAACAAACACGTCCTGATCCTGCTGCACGACGCGATGTTGCTACGCAGCTGACGGAAAATACTCGTTGACAAGTCTATGCCCGTCCTTTGTAGAAAACACGGACAAAGTTATTTATCATAAGTAATTATTTTTACGCCTCATTTTCTGTTCTGTTGAGCAAATATTAAAGTTTTAATAAGGACTTACTTTCAAAGTTTCACCGCGATATTCCAAATTGCTCTACACATTTAATTTCGGCAATCTCTTTAGGAGTTTTTAAAAGAACGTTCGATACAAATTGTTTTATAATACCCTTGGGGAAGCGCTATACAAATGAAATAAGAAAGCGCACAAGTTGAAGGACGAAGGGTGTGTTCGACGACCTACATAATTTTATTTCTGGCTTGGGAGAAATAACAAGTCCGATAGAGTGTTTCAAACTTCCAAAAAGTTGTCGATTTGGTCGTTTTTTTGGACACGCCTGTCCTGTACGGAGTTTGGTCGTCTACTTTGAGGTACTTGGGAATGTAATCGATAGTTTCTCATATAGTTATATGTGACGAGTGATAATAGACTAGTACAATCTTATTAGAGTAATTTACGTTTAGACGGTTGGATAATATATGTTGAGTGAACAAAATTGGTGCTT